CCCAGCGGCGGCGGACGCGGATGCGGCGTCCTTCCTTCACGAAGGCTGCGCGTGTCGACGGCTTCATCGCCTCATCCTCTCCCCCGGCAGCGGCGGCATGCAGATGCGGCGACCAGCCTTGCCTGCAGTTGTGCGCCGAACCAAGACGGAGAGGCGGCGACGCTTAGGGCGTCGGCATCCACAGAGCGGAAGCGACGGTCAGAGGTCGCACTCATCCTCATCTCCGCCAGCAGGCGGTTCCCCAAGTCTACCTTGCCGTCTTCCTGGCATTGAGGTTCATGCCCCCTCCTTCTCCATGTTGATCATCTCGATCTGGTGTCCGATCTTGATCTGCTTGGACAAAAAATGTGTTTGGTTAGGTCTTAACTACTTTGGTTAGGTCTTAACTACAGTACTTGAGATTGATTTCTTCTTAGTTTCCCTATAGAAATTTAGTTTCCTTTGGTGGATTTTTTTTAAGACTATCTGAGATCGCAGAATTGTAGATGAGCATACCATGGTGGATTGTAATTCCAACTGATGGAACTGAGACCTAGCATCCATATGTATAGAAGGTTAGTATTTATTCCATCTTATATGTCTAGCCTGGGAAAAATAGTTCTGTTTTTTTTTCTCTAACTGAAATTGTTTGTTTTCGTGAGGCAATTGCTCTTACACATGTTTCTATCTCATGCCATTAGAGCAGACCATTCTTTTCAACCATCCCGCTTGCAGTATGCCATTGTATATGTCCGCTTGCTTCAATCTATTCTTGACTCAATTTGATTCCTTACGTAAATGTGAGACCTCAAGAACGGTGGTTGCATAAACTTCAACGATCCTAGAGCTTCCTATCATGTCAGAAGGACGTATGTCAGACTCTAGCCCACGTTGCACCCATGGTACTTCTAATGGATCGCATTATCAGTATCTGTGAATATTGTTACATGCAGCGCAAACATGTAGTCCTTTCTAATGGCAAAATGTTCCTAATTCCTTCTTCCGGATTCAAAGTTGCTACAAGACATTGCTACATGTATGCCATGGTATGATTCTAGCTATTGAATGTTTTATCCTGATGCTTTCACTGTGCAAATATGTAGCTACCATTGAATGTACGAAATAAAAAAATGTCTAAATTAGATGGCGCAGTTTTTCCATTGGCCTATTTCTGCTCATCTGGATGGCTCACATGTGCTAAAAATTGTACATTTTATGGTGTTTCAAAATCAAGCATCTTATATGTGCTTGCTTTAAAAAGCCTTTGGAGGTGGAAAATCGGCAATGTTATCTGTCTAACTTCAACTAGCTCTAATGAATCCCTGTATAATTTATGCCTGTAAAATATCGATGGTAATTATTATAAGGACTTGCTTTATGTTTATTTGTTTAAAAAATAGATAATTTTACTGAATGATAAATTTCTTGGAGCAGGTCTATGAATTCTTTTATCATAACATATTTTTTTTGATTAAAAGACTTGGGCTATGGATATGAGCGCTCAGATTCTCTTCCTCAATCATGTGATTCTAAAATGTAAGTTTACACTACTGTTGTTTATTCTTCTTGCTATTATCACTTCTGATAAAATATGCGTCGAGCATCTTTGGCTAACGTGCCGAGATGTTCCCTATATGGCGATTTCTTTTATGTTTGTGCTTACCGGACACTAGAGTGATGACTTCGATCAAAACTTGCATGCCTACAATATAAGCCGTCCTGTGTTTGAATTGCACTGCACTAAATGCTGGGAATCTATTTTTCTTTTTTCTTCTTGGCCCGTGGGAGGGGGGAATGTTAAAGGAAAGTTGTTCACCTGATGAATCTTTTCCACATTATATCTTTTTGAGCTAATCGTTTTGTTAAGCCTCTTCTCCCATAAAAAGGTAAACACACGTCTTGCAGTGGTATTCTTTGTCATAAAAATCGTGTAGCAGAGAGATCAGTAGTGTTGCTGATCTGTTTGTGCTCTAAAAGTTAATTGTAATGTTGAAGGCTTACAATACTGAGTTGCTAAATGGAAGCCATGACGCATCGAGCACACACCACTCAGAATAGCAATGACTGCTTCCTTGCCTGGGAGCTGTCAGCTGTGAGCTTCATACTGCAAGTGGAGATCCAACATCCAACAGGTCAGTGGCACATTTGTTATTATCATTACATGGACAAGGTGTTCAGAAAACCTCTGAATGATGTTATTGATCATGGCAAAAAGCAGCTGTTCAAAGAAAATGAACTTGCCCAAAGTTTCAAACCTACAGTACAGTCAAATACTATGAAATAATGTGCTTTAGGTGACCTTTATATTCATGGTGCTAGCATAATTTGCATATAAAATTAACACTAAATTATATTCATGCTTGACAGTCTTTTTGGTTAGTGATATCATGATTTTATTATGATAAAAAATACCATATATTCCTGATGGCTTTACACTCTTTTGCGAACCTCTGTTTTATCAGTTTTGTGTATGAAACCTGGAGTAGAACTACTCTACATTATCTCCAGAAAGCTACCAGATCCTGTCATACTTCAGATAACTTCATCTACAATCTGTCATTGTCCTCTACAACATGACTCTTTTGACTTCTATATATTTTTAGTGGGGACTAACTATTTACTTGGTTATAATACAATACTAGCTGGAGCACCAAATCTGGAAGAGGTCAGTTCACATTTTTTTAATGATCCCTTGTGAATATTGAAACCACCTCTTCACAATTTTGAAACATGTGAATCTTCAAAGCTTGAGACCACCTCTTTTTTGTTGCATAAAAGCTAAGGTAATTTCCAATGTTCAAATGGAACTACACTCCATTTGTTCTGACAAACCCCAATCTGTATAATGTTTATTCATTTGATATATGTTCTCTATTTTTATTTCAAGTTACAGGTGAAAGGGAAAGTTAGAAAATTTGGCTTGCGAAAGTGAATCGGTGCTTATGTCACGATGTATGAGCCTTAGCGGGTTCGGCCAGAACTGTTTTTTATTTTTAAATCATGTGTCTTGTGTCCATATATTTTTAAAATAATCAATACATAGTTGGGCAAATTTGGATTTTTTTTTTTTTGCAAAGAACGTTATATGCTCCCTTTATGAATCCAGTCAGTATTTGCATATGTATACTTTTCTAAGTTCCTTTGTATCCCATGTGTATTCGCTTCATCATCATAGCTAAACATTATATATAATACGGAAAGATCTAAATGAATCACCAAAACAATACATATACCACATTGAAAGGGAAATACCACGTCAACATACTCCGGAAAGGCAAGCCACGCTATCCTCATGCATCCACGATGCTCGAATACCAGTCACAACTCACAAAGATCAAAGTGATGTAACCTTAGCAAGAGCGGTATCACAAGTTCACAGCAAGAAAAACACAGAGATGTACACATCACCTGCGTGCGCAGCGAAGCGCGCAACCCGGCCTAGTAGTTGTAATATATGAACAAGCTGCAACTCTGCTGACTAGGCAAAATTGTTTTTCCGCGGAAGCAAATTGAGTCTTCTGGGAGAACGGAGAAGAGACGCAGGGAAGGGACAAAACGGTGCCACACCGATCAGAAAAGCAGCATGACAGGGAACAGCAGCATTCCTCGGCTTTTCAACACTAGGAAGGAAGCTACTCGTAAGGGGCGTGCGTCCGTGCTTCGTAAGATATTCTTGAACCCAGGTTTAAACCATCTACTACTCCGCGGAAGCGCCCGGCTTGATCGAGGTGGGCAAATCAAATTCGGCAAGCTGCAAGGACGAGCCGCGCACTCGCACAAAAAATGATCCAAGAGGCTGTCCTGTCCGGCCGCGTCATCAAATCAAAACCAAAAAGAAACCACGGGCTGGTCGGCAGCCGGCGGGACGGAACCCGGCGCCGTCCGGTCACCGGTGTCCGCACCTGCCCACCTGCCCGTGCCCGCGAGGCGTTCGTGGCGTAGCGGTAGAGTGCCAGATTATCCGTACCGTGCAGTGGAAACCCCGTCTGCTCCTCGCAAATCTGTTCGCGCCAGCAATGCTCCACGCAGAGGGAAAACGGGTGTCTGGTTCCTGGTCCCGATCATCACCGGCAATCACTCGCGCAGACCCGGTTCGCTCGATCCTATCAGCCATGTAATTAGTTATAATATAATATTTTTTCTCATAATAAAACAGCATCAACTGACTTATAAGAGCATCTCCAAAAGTTTGTCAAATTTTACTTGGCAAATCTTATGATTTGCCAACTCCCAAAATTATATGCCAAGTAAAAAAGCAATCCATCTCCAAGAGTTTGTCATTTTTGACTTGGTAAAATAAAAAAACCCGTTAACAAAACGAAGAGGCCCGCTAAGCAAACGAAGAGCCCCGCTAGGAAACGAAGAGTCCCGGATGTCAAGCCGTATACGCGCGCGTATACTTACGCGCGCGGAGGAAAGATTTGCCAAGTTGTTATTGATGCCAAGTTATTTTGACAAATTATTAAAGGCTATTTTTTCTTGTTTTACCAAAATTATATGGATGCCAAGTTGAGACAGCAAACTCTTGGAGATGCTCTAAGCTATAGAAATGATTAAATGGAAAAGGGTGAATAATAACCCAAAGCTAAAAGCGCTAGTCGCTTCGCCTGCTTCAGCTTCTGTTACGTTGGATCACGGAGCAAAGCAGACGGCCTGGCCCCATCACTTGGCAAATGGGAACAAATCCCCGTTGCTTTCCCTCGACATCGAACAGTAGCTCAGACGTCGCGACAGCCCACAGATCAGCAAATGGGGAGTCAAATACTAAAGCCATTTTCATTGTACTACTATATTTAGAGCCGCTGATGAAGAATAAGAAGTTTTGGTGGAACAAACTACATCGGTACAGTAAAGAGCTCCGTATGCACAGTTGATCAACCACTCACCATTATCACTCTCTGATCAAAGAATCGTGACAGCCTAAGCAAACTTTGTACATCATGAGGAGAAGAGGGGAAAGAAAAAAATGTTGGTTTCATCTGAGCTTTACCCTATCTGGCATTGCCCTTGGCTAGACTTGATTACGACGCCATCATGGCCGGAGGCACGACGCTGCTGGCGGCCGGGCACACGCTGCCCCGCTCGCCGTCGGCGGCCGACGCGGCGGCCCACCGGCGGCATATCCTGCCGAGCGACGCGGCCTTGCGGCGGGCGCGCTCCGTGCCGGTGCCCATCAGCTCCCAGATGGCCCATTCCACGCCGGGCACGGCCATCACCTGCGTCACCGCGCGCGCGCCCAGCCGCCGGCACAGGAGCACCAGCGCCGCCGTCGCGTTCTCCCTGGCCCACTCCGTGCCGCGCCGCATCTCGGCCACCAGCCGCGCCACGGCACCGTCGATGCCCACGATCGCCTCCGCGCCGCCGCGCTTTGCCAGCGCGGCCAGCACCGCGGCCGCGGTCTCCTCCTCGCTGATCGCGGACAGCGCCGCCTGCGCGACGCCGGCGTCGACGAGCTTTCCCACGTTCTCCCTCTCGCCCACCAGCGACAGCAGCGCGGCCAGCGCGTCTTTCTTGGTGCTCGTCGGACCGGTGCGGACCAGATGCACCAGCTTCTCCACGATGGACAGGTTCCGGCCGAGGCGGCGCCGGTAGGTGTGCACGGACGCGAGGCTGAGCACGGCGGCCGCCGCATTCTCCTTGGCGCGCCAAGTCGCGCCGGAGCTAAGGATGTGGGCGACCGCCTCCACGGCGCCCTCGGCGTGCATGATGCGCTTCTTGTTGGCCTCGAGGATGGAGAGGTTGAGCAGCGCCGTGACGGCGTTCAGCTGGAGCCCGGCGTCCTCGGAGTAGAGCAGGGGCACCAGCAGCGGCACGGCACCGGCCTCCCCGACGAACGCGCGGCTGTCGGCGCCGGACTTGGACAACAGCTGGATCTCGTGCACGACGCGGTTGGCCGCGTCCGGGGAGAAGGAGATGGAGAGCTTCTTCACGAGGAACGACGCCGTCATGCGCGCCGCCTCCAGCGCCGCCTTGTTCGCGGCCACCGCCTGCGCCGGCTCGCTCTTGCTCGCCTCGCTGCTCTCCATGGCGACGCCGTTCTCCCGGCACCACTTGGCGATGAGGTTCTTGAGCGCCTTGTTGGGCACGAGCTCCAAAACGGTAAGGACCTGCCCTGTCTTGGGGCACGTTGACTTGCCGGAGTCGAACCACCGGAAGATGGAGTCCCGGTCGTACGTCTGGCCGCTGGCGACGACGACGGGCTCGCGCATGATATCGAGGGTGATGGGGCAGCGGAAGTCCGGCGGCGGTGCCGGGGGCTCCCCTTCTTCGTCGACCTCGGGGTCCGGCTTGGAATCCGAAGGAGGCCGGGGCGTGGCGCTGAACAGGACGCACTTGGCGTACCGCAGCAGCCCGACGAGCGCGATCATGGCGTCCGTCCACCTCTCCGAGGCGCGGTCGCCGATCTCCCGCTCGAGGCTCTCGATCTCTTCGCCGCAGGTCGCGGTGTCGTTGATGCCCACCTCCTCCAGGATCTCCCGCAGCCTCTCCCGCTCCGGCACGATCTCCCGCTCGATTTCCTGTATTAGCGAGAGCACTCTGGCCTTGAGAGCCTGCTCCGCCTGGACAGACACAGACGGCGCGAACCGCCTGCACTGGCGCGACGCGAGGTCCAGCAGGTCGATGACGTCGTCGGCAAGGCCCAGCTCGACTCCCGGCAGGAGGTCGAGCAGCGTGGCCAGGTCCTGGTGCAGCTCCCTTACCTCCTCCTCGATCTCGTCCGACTGCAGCAGCAGTTGCATCCGGCTCCGCGCGGCGCAGTCGGCGGCCAGCGCCTTGAAGCGCTGCAGCACGAGGAGCACCTCGCGGAGGCACAGCGACGCGGACCGCGGCATGTCCCCCCCGGCCGCCGCGGCGCACAGGACCAGGTCGTCGAACGCGGCGGCCAGGAGCCTGGACCGCCTGGTGATGGGCGCGAGCGCGCCGCGCAGGAACGGGGCCGGCGTCTCGGCGGCCGCGGACAGGTCCCGCGCGAGGCGGTGCAGCGAGCGCAGCAGCTCGCCGTCGGACGGCGACGGAGGCGCCGGCGCCATGAACTCCGCCGGCGCCGACCAGGAGGTGGTGGAGGAGGAGCAGCCGGCGGGCGGTGACGGCGCGGAGGTCAACACCGTTCGTGGGTTGGGCATGGCCATTGGAGTTGGAACAGCTGAGCGCGGTATAACTAACACCTACAGAAACGGCTGGTTTAGTGGGGATGGCGTGCGTACGATGGCGGAGCGGCGAGGCGAAGACAGAGAGAGAGAGAGAGAGAGAGAGAGAGAGGAGGGGCTTATAAATGACGGGGGCGGTAGGCGTGTGCAGTTGAGCTGGAAGGAATCCCAACCCGCATGAGAGGTTGCTTGCTTATCTTCTACTGTGATGGTTGCGCTTCATGTGCTTAGTTTAGTGGTGATGCTCGGCAGCTCGGGGTTTAATATTTCCGGCAGCCTCTCCGTCTGCGACTGCGAGGGAAGACGATTGGAAGGGGCTGAGGCTAAGGATGACAGCGGTGCGGGTTCGGGTGGGATATCAGCGGTTTTCGGGTCCGGCGGTTTCAGTTTCAGTGTCTGGTTCTCGCCCCCATGGTTTTTCAAGTTGCGGGTTTAAGGCGGGTTTTCAGTTTCACCCGTGGATCACCATCGGAGCCCCGAAATAATTTGGCCCACTAGCAGCCCATCAACAACCCTAGCATATAAGCCTGAAATCCTCTCCCTCTTAACCCTCACCCGATCACCCCAGACCTAGCGCGCTTTCGGGCGATCGTAGTCGGGTGCGCGGCAATGACGCGAGGATGCCTCGAGCTCGGCGGTGGAGTCCTCGACCTCTTCCTCTCGGTGTGGAACCGTGGATCCGTGCTCACCCCGGTGCTCCGTGTTCGAGGCTCGACCCCCCCAGGCACCCACCGACGACCGCCTCGGTGCCTTGCCGCCTTGGCCGCTGCCCGCCGTCCAGAAGAAGCAGCAGACCGCAGCAATGTGGTAGCCGGCGCTGCCCACTCAGCGCGTGCGTGCGGCGTGCCAGCAGGGGCGCATGGCAGCTCGTAGGTGTGGGGCGCACCCAATGGGGCGGTGTCGCAGAGGCGAGCAGGTGCCTACTTGCCCCTGGCTAATTGCTGCTGCTACTTGCTAGTTGATGCTGTACATGGCTAGCTGCGACCGTTGCTTGCTAATTTATTCTGTACATGGCTAGCTAATTTATTCTATACATATTATGTACATTTGTAGCTGCTGTCTGTCAGGACTTTCATGGTTACATCTTGTTATCTGCGATCTGTTTTGCTAATTTATCATATTTAATATTGTTGTTCTTGTTGTAATTTTTTTGGGTTTTGGATTATCCGTCGGGTTTCGGAGATCCGCGGGTTTTGGTTTCGGGGATGAATTTTAACCCGAATCGGTATTCGGGACAAATTCAGGTTTTAAGTTCGGGTTTCAATTTTAGGTGTGCAGATACTCCACCCGATCTGAACCCGTCCGGTTGACATCCTTAGCTGAGGCTGAGAGCCGTGCGTGTGTGATAAGGCGGCCGTCGGATGGAGATGGGATGGAGGGCTGGGATGAGGAGTGTTCCCGGATGGGACGAGGATGACTCAGCCCCGCCTCGATTGGATCGCGAGCGCCGGGAGGCGAAGGAGAAACATGCAAACAGTGCGTTGACGGCCGACAGCAAGGGGTGCACGAGAATGAGATCCCGCCTAGGCCTAGTAGTAGCTTTTCAGAGTGGAGGACCATGGCCAGGCCACAGCCAGCATGGGCTCGCGAGAATCCAAGGGTGCTTCGGTTCTTAAACTATCGTTTTCTCTCTTAGGCCTTGTTTAGATGCCTCCCAAATTCTAAGTTTTTTCACTCTCTCTTTATCACATCAATTTTTAGCCGCTTGCATGGAGTATTAAATGTAGGTAAAAAAAAATAACTAATTACACAGTTTAGTTGGAAATCACGAGATGAATCTTTTGAGCCTAGTTGGTCCACGATTGGACAATATTTGTCAAATAAGACGAAAGTGGTACTATTCATCGGGTTGAAATTTTTTCGCAATCTAAACGAGGCCTTATCGTTCTTATAACTGGGACTTTACACGAAACAACCGTACCATTTCTTTAAAAGTTAAAACATCTTCCGCTGGATGCAGGGGGCAGCACGTGTGTGGTAGTAGTAAAATTCGTGTAAGCACTAAGCAGGTTCTGCTAGGTTAACCGGGATTCGTGATGCATCCATGGATGTGAAAACCCCACGTTCCACGGACCTCAGCTATGAGATCAATAATTGCATTTGTTCTACCGCGTGGCAAGAGCGGAGAGCACCTCTCAAAAAAAAATTACATTTCTTCTAGTCAGAGCAGGCGACTGGTCGATCGAATGTGAAGGTGATGTGCCTTCGTGACAGACAACGGGCTTCCACATTGAACAGTCCGACTGCCACCTGGGATGATTGAACCCGACAATACCGGAGCTCTTTACTATCTTCGTGGGCTTTTCTACCCGAGCTGAGCGACTAGTAGTAGACAATCAGGCTAACCTGGCTTGCTTCGACATGTGCTGTTTCCAATCGCATATTACCTTGCTGACACGGTAAGAACACGGTTTCCTTCTTCATTTTTGCCCCCTCCAGAAGTCCAGAGTCCGGACAGGGAGTGATACTACAGAGCAGCAGCATTCGAAACATCCAAACGGGCCAGACGGACGCAAAAAAGAACAAGAGCGGTTGCAGTCAACAGTAATTACAGACGGCGATGCCATGTGGAACAAGCAATCACCATTTGACTCGATCGGACGGAATTCCAAGCACACGACGCCATTTCGAACAGGCCAGCGGGCAGCGGCCACACGACCCACGTCCCACCGCGCCGCCGGCCGGCCGGTCCGACCACCTTTTCACCTGCCCGTCCCGGCAGCCGCAGTTCGGCCATCCGCAACTAGCGTGCCCCGATCAGATCACCACGCCGACGCGGTGTCTGATTAGATTAAAGTCTCGCGCTGGTGCAGGGAACGTGCCGACCGATTTCGGCAATTCGCTTCACGTGCGTGTTCTTTTCGTTAGCAAGCTGTGGGAGGGCTGACCGCTTTTCCTTCGGTCTCCTAGTTCGTAGGAAGCGCTGGGCTGCGCCACGAAAGACGAAAGTGACCGCGCGACCGCGGTGGTGGCGAGGCTTTTCGCCGGCTGGCCGGCGTGTCAGCCACATATGAGCGCGCACGACGACGTTGGGTTGGTGCTGGGGTAGTTACTGGGCTGGTGACCAGACGGCCGGCGGACGCAGCAGTGCCACGGCAAAGACGTCATGGCTTAATACTTTGCATTAACATACGACAGTCCCTGTGTTTGACCTGTTTTCGTGGATAGTCAATTTAAGAGTCAGTCTACTATATAACCGTGTGTTTTATGCAGTTTTAACATATGAATTTTTTTTACACCATAGGATTAAGATCCAACAGCCTCCACCATTCTTCTATCTCCAGCCTCCGCATATCACAGATTATAATTTTTTTTCTATAGAAGGACAAATCACAGATCTGCTGCCGTCGCCATGGCCGGCGCAGGAGTGGGGAGGCGCGCCGGGCGCGGGCGTGGGCGCCACCACCGCCGCCGCCGCCACCGCCACTACCATGGCCGGTGCGGGCGCCGCCGCCACTGCCATGGCCGGCGCGGGCGCTGGGGCGAGCTCGCCGGTCGCCGTCACCGGCGCCGGTGGTCACCGGTGAGAAAGAGAGAGGGAGAGAGATAAAAAAAAATTCATGTGTTTTTTTTTGCTAAACATATGTGTGTTGTATAGCATTTCTGCAATTTTAAAAAGCGCGGGCGTTAAATGATAGCTGCAGGCAGCAGTATCTGAATGTCGTTTAACTTTGCAGCGACACCTAATTTCTGTTTTTTTTATCGGAGCGATACCTAATTTCATAACAGTGGTATTGGGTTCCAACATTCATTTCATAACAGTGGTATTAGGTTCCAGTATTCTTTCTTAAATTTTGTCTCTATATCCTCATTTAGTCATTAAAAGAATTGCTATATGTATCTTCCATCCTCCAATAGCTTCTCTATGCAGAGTCAGCCACACTCTCTATCTTTGGTTTGCGAGAAACTTTAGAGGATGACAGTGTTTAGAGTCTAGGGTCTGTTTGGTTGGTGTCGTATTTTGCCACGTCTATCTTCAGAAACTGTAGAAGAAAGTGTGGCGAGCAAAATCGAAAGTTCGAAACCACACTTATGGCAAAAGCTTGGTAAGAAAATAAGTATGACATGTGGGACAGAGTTCTAGGAAAGTGTGGCGCGCCATAGTTGTAACAATGAGGCAGATAGCTGCCAAAGAAAATGCGCAAAACTAAGTCGCGGCGTAGCAAGTTGTGGTCACGAACCAAATAGGATCCTAATTGAGAGGTTAGAGGACTTTTTCTTCACCAAAATCACTATTTATATCAATACGGAAGGATATAAAAAAGCCTTTTGGAGTCAATTTTAGGGTATGTCCAAGAGTTTTTTTCTTGAACCCACCCTCAAAATCCTTATTTGGAGAGCTATTTGAAAAAATGCTCTATATATCTTTCCACCATCCAACATCTTCTCTATATCTTTCTTATGTGCATTTTGGAGAGTTAACTTCGCTCTTCATCTTTGGCTAGTGAGAAACCAAAAAAATACGGTGCCAATATTTAGAGATCTAATCGAAGGAGTTGTTGGAGGGGGGTTTTTCACCAAAATCTCTATGCTTATTAATATCGAAGGATATAAAGAGACTCTTAAAGTTGCTCTTAGGGCATCTCCAAGAGTTTTTTTTCTTAAACCCACTCTCTAAATCCTCATTTGGAGAGCCAGTTGAATAAAACCTGCTATCTATATCTTTCCACCTTCCAATTGGTTTTCTATATCTTGTTGTCCACTTTGGAGAGCCATCCCTACATTCTATCTTTGGCTAACGAGAAATCATAAATAAAAGTTGGCAATATTTGAAGATCTAATTTAAGAAGTTGTTGGAGGTTTTTGTGTCAAAAAATCTCTATCTTATTGATACGGAAGGATATAAAGAGTTTTATGAAATTGTCCTTAGGATGATGGCTGGTCAGGGGGCTTGCTACTCTTTCCTAGAGATGGAACGTGTGGATAATGCCTTCTCCATAGGATGGTTAATTAGTGGGATTGCTCCGTTAAGTGCCAAGATT